TTGGATTTTTCACCTCTTTTGTTAAGTTGATTCCCAAGGATTTTTTTTTTTTTTTTTTTTTGAGGATATTGTGAATGGGTTAGTTTTCCTCATTTCCTTCTCAGAGGATTTGTCATTGATATGCAGAAATACCTTTGATTTATGGGTGTTGATTTTACATCCTGCTACTTTGCTGAATCTTTAAATCTGAAGCTTAATTTTGCTGGATACAAGATTCTTGGTTGGCACCCATTATCTTTCAGAACTTGAAATATGTTATTCCAGGATCTTCTAGCTTTCAGGGTCTATATGTAATCTGATTCCTTTCTCTGTGGCTTTTACAATTCTCTCCTTGTACTGTATTCTGGGCATTTTCATTATAATGGGTCTTGGTGTGGATCTGTTGTGATTTTGCACATTTGGCGTCCTGTAGGCTTCTTGGATTTGGATTTCCGTTTCATTCTTCATGTCTGGAAAGTTTTCTGATATTATTTCATTGAACAGATAGCTCATTCCTTTGGTTTGGACCTCTATGCCTTCCTCTATCCCAGTAACTCTTAAATTTGGTCATTTTATGCTATCCCGTATTTTTTGGATGTTCTGCTCATGGTTTCTTACAATTTTTGCTGCTGTCTACATTGTTTTCAAGATGATATATTTTATCTTCATTGTCTGATGTCCTGTCTTCTAAGTGGTCTACTTTTTTGGTGATGCGCTTGTTTGAGTTTTTAATTTGGTTTATTATTTCTTTCATTTCAAGGATTTCTGTTTGGTTTTTTGGTATAACCTCTATCTCCAGCTGTTGAGGTGATCTTTTGCTTCTTGGATTTGTTAATGTAGCTCATTGTCAAAGTGATCTTTCACTGCCTGTATTTGTTCTGTAATGTCTTCTTTGAGATCCCAAAACATTTTAATCATGCATATCCTGAAATCTTTCTCTATAATTTTTTTTTCTGCTGTAGCTGTCAATTCTTTTAATGATGTGTTGTCTTGAATTGTTTGTGGTACTTTCTTCCATTGTCTTTTCATGTTGCTCAAGTTTCTTTCCAGCTCTGTGGGACTGCTGTGTTATTGTTTTTATCCTATAGATTTGTAGTGCTCTTGCATGGTTTCAAGATCCCTCCTTTGTGGGGAAGGACAATGTTAACAGATCCCAATATCAACAATACATCACCTGTTCAGATGAAGATCCGAGCTGATAGCCATGCCCACCAAAAAATGTCAAGAAAGGTTTTCCAAGATGGAGTTGGTCTTCTTCCAGTGCCAGGGTGTCTGATGAGGTGGGGAGAGCTGGGATGTCCTTGTGCTATGCCTAGAACACAGTCAGGTGACCTGTGTGGGAGCGGAATGCAGTCTGGAGTTCTGCAGAGGTGCTGATTTGGTGATTCTGCTACGCTGTTTGAGAGCCGTGTGTGTGTTAGTACTGCGGGCTTTGGGTCTGGAGTCCAGAATCTTACTGGAACACGGAGGCTCTGATTTCTGTGCAGGTGGTCGCAGTGCTGGTGATTTCTGCGAAAATCCGCTGTATAGGAGTCCTGTCGTATGCTCTGAGGTGTTGTATTCCGTCTAGGTGAGACCTTGTGGAGAAGCTGCCTCACTGCTTTCTTGGATTCATACCACAGAGCAGCCAGAAACAGTACCTCCTCTCTTCCACCATCTTGGATCAAAAATGCTTTTTTTTTAATGTTACTTTTTCTTTCAATGGGGAATCCCTCTTGGGAATGATGAAAAGGAAATGAGGTTCCTGGCTTTAAGGACAGAGACACATGCAATGAATGTCTCTTAATCAGCTGCTGTTTGTTGCTCTTAGGTTACAAAGAGGAGTCAGTCCTGGTTATTGTCCTCATGTAAGATTGCTACTCAGCCTTGAGTGGGTGAGCAGGGAAAAGGCAATAAAAGGTGATTGAAAGCCACAGGGACCCTTATCTGACAGATAAGCACTCAGAAGGTGGGGGCTCTGTATGTTAAAAGCTCCCCCCAGCTTTAATTAAGAGAAATCACCCTTTCAGACCATATTGTCTCTAGGACTCTCCCTTATCACTAAAACCAGGTAATAACCTCACCCACACTGGTGGCCAAAAATTCAGGATTCTCAAAAACTTGATGGGGGCTATTCAAAGGATAATGAACCCATTACAAGATCAGGAAATGTAAACAAAAATGAGGGGGCTCAGTTTCCTTAAAAACTGCAACCCTGAGCACCACACCTTTCTGTTGGAGATGGTGGTTCATGCAATTCCTTTGCTGTCAGTCAAAAGTCAGGAGGTGGAGTTGGGTAGGACTCTGGAAACTTACCTGGAATTCCAATAAAAATGGATGGCAGAATGGGTATGCTATCCCTCTCTGTGAGAGGACCCTCTCCCCCTTGAGTGTGTGCCCCTTTTCCTCTTTTGTCTTGTAATAAACTCATGCCTGTTACTCTTAGTAATATGTTTCAAATCCTTCTGACCTGACCCAAGAATCAGTGTTCGAAAGGGGTGGGGGGTTTCCGTGCTACCTCAACTTAATGGAAGGTCTCTGCCCTGTGACAATCACAGGATTCACTTCTGTTATATGGGAATAGAAACAAACCCGTCTGCAGCCTGGCATCAATTCCTGGCCTTAGTGACCACCTTACAGTAACAGAAATAAGATAGACCTGTTTTTTTAAAATATATAGGGGACCTGGCAGGTCGTGCAGAACTGTTGGGGAAAACTTCCCTGAAGATCTGGAATGTGACACGGACAGACTCAGCCCTCTATCGCTGTGAGGTTGTTGCTCGGAATGACCGCAAAGAAATTGATGAAATTGCCATTGAATTAATTGTGCAAGGTAAGAGTTCATGTGAAGGTAAAGTGTTCATCTTCAGGGCTCATGAGTGTGTAGCTATAAAGTAAGTCATCAGTTCCTATTTCCATTTCCTGAGGATATCACATGACTTGGGGGAGGAGAGCTTGGGAGTCTGAGACTGCCTAAGTTGAGGGGAAAGGTAAGAAGGAAGTGGAGCTGCCCCCATTCTCATCATCTGTGGGAAATGCTTTAGCATACTTTATCTCCTCCACAGCATCCTCTTGAAGATGGAAGGAATTAAAAATGCATGTGTGATTGGACTTGGGGTGGCATGAACTCTGAGGGTAGGATAGTCTCCAGATGTGATGACTGGGATTGCAGTGGTGCAGGAGCTTCTTGGCTGGCTTCCTTGTATTTGGAGCTGATTTAGGAAAATGTTGGATGTTGCCATGTTGCTGAGATCTTAAATACCAACCCATGTTTTTCCTGCAGTGAAGCCAGTAACCCCTATCTGCAGAGTGCCAAAGGCTGTCCCTGTAGGCAAGGCAGCAACGCTGCAGTGCCAGGAGAGCGAGGGCTATCCCCGGCCTTACTACAACTGGTATCGCAATGATGTGCCGCTGCCAACGGATTCCAGAGCCAATCCCAGATTTCGAAATTCCTCTTTTCTCTTAAACTCTGAGACAGGCACTCTGGTAAGAATCTTCTAAGAGGTGAGGATGGAGATATCTTTGTTGGGGGCAATGGATTCTTTTTGTGGAAAGAATAGTTATTAGGAGAGACAGTAAAACTATTTTGTATGACAGGAACTAAGAATCCAGGATTATTGAGATTCTACAAGAAAAATAACCCTTCGTTTATAAACAAGTCCTAAGAGGGTAAAATAAGGAAGGGAAACCTGTAGATATAAAACGGACCAAGGAAGTGATATTAGCCAAGTGTTATAGGTGGACATTATTTGAGTCCTGATTTGGACTGTACAAATCATTAGGAGATAATCAGGAACATTTGATTACTGACTGGATATTTGATGATAATAAGCAATTGCTGATTGCTTTAGGCACGATAATGGCATTGTTATTATGGTTTTAGAAGTCTTTATTTTCTAGAGACGCATATTGAAATATTTATGGATAAAACATGTCTGGAATTTGATTCAAAATAACCCAGTGCTGGTGGTGGTGGGAAGTATATGAGGGAAGGAAACAAGATTGGTTATCAGCAAGTCACCCCAGACTTTGACAGCAAGATGGGGTTGGTCTGTATATAATACTCAACCATACATGGTAAATAGGTGGGTCTTAATAGGATCCTTAGTATTTATTTTGACAAAGTGTTGCCTAAGGAGCAGTCCTGGTCAGAGTCCCTTCACCAAATAACAGCAAAGCACACGCAGCTTCATGTTTTAGATGTTGCTGGCTTTGGCACCTCTGGATACTAAGGGGAGCTCATTGTTGGGGAACTCTTAGGCCAGAGTGTTAGGAAAGCAGGTGAGGGAAGAAGCCAGACAATGCCTGGGATGCCACAGGAAAACTAGAAGCAAATTAGCAGATTCTGACTACATTCTGGACTCAGTAGGACCTTGGCAGCTTTACCTTCCTCACTCCTATCCCTTAGAGGGCTGCCCTTATGATTGGTCTCAGTATTTACCTTCATTTCTTGAAACAGGTTTTCAGCGCTGTTCATAAGGAGGACTCTGGGCAGTATTATTGCATTGCTTCCAATGATGCAGGCTCAGCCAAGTGTGAGGAACAAGAGATGGAAGTCTGTGAGTTACTTTTTGGAAAGATTTTATTCAAAGACTGGGAAGTGAATAGAATATTTAAAATTGAATATTAGATGGTCAGTTTAGACAATGTTCTGCCATAGGTCGCCTTTCTTTTGGAGCTGACGGGATTCACCAAGATCCCTGGGGGAAGTTTAAGGAAGGAACAGAAAATGCTATATCTAGATAAGTAGGTCTCTAAAAGAGACCTTCTGAGGTCTCTTGGTGCTGGAAACATGACCAGTCATGTAACTTTCACAGAGTGTAATTAATGACCTTTCTCTGGTAATTGATAGAATCATCAAAATACAAGGTGGTATAAGGCTTTTGGAAAATTTTCCAGTTACAAATTTTTTGCAGGAAACTGATTGACACTGGTTTTTTTTTTTTTTTTTTTTGTCCAACTAATTTTACCCTGCTCTGTGATAATGCCCTCTCTAGGGTACTGGTTATAAGGGGAGGTTGTTGGAAGGAAGAGGGAGTGGATGGGGTATGTCTGAACCACTTGGGGAATTTTATGACCTTTTCCCTCTTTTCTGTTTGCAACAATTGCAGAGTAGGGTTTCAAAAATTGCTTGATGATAAGAACCATTTGGACCACTGTTTAACAGAAAGATAGAAGAGCCTTCCCTAGTTATATACCAGAAGTTTGTGTGTATAATAAACAAGCATTCCAGTGATTCTTGTCTATCAAATTTGGGAAACTGCTCTAGGGCTATTTTCTCCTGAGTAAGAATCCTGAGTTGATAGTTTCCTGCACATTTTTACATGCACTGTTATTTGCATAAAGGAAGCAGCCACTGTTGTTCTCAAATTACAGGTGACCAAAGTGCCTTTGCCCAGTGTAGAAATGAGAAAAAGGAATGCAGGGGTTATCTTCTAAGGGGGCTTAAAAATAGGAGGCCTGCTAATGGAGTGAAAGGGCAAGTTTTCATTTAGTACTTTTTTTCTTTTAAGGCTTCAAATTAATTTTCTTCCCTTAAAATAGTCCACAACAAATAAGGGTTCTGGAAATTAGGATTTTTTCCCCTTTCCTTACATTCCCTGGCTCCTAATTCTAGACTTAATATAACCATTTCTTGCATTAATAGTATTCTCAGGCATTTAGCCAGAGGATTTAAAAAGATGAGCCCCACTTAATTCAGTCTTCATTGTGACTGCATTTGAACCATTAGTCTCAGTACTTTATACATGGTATCAGGGGTTGTGGTGTCCTGTGTGTTCTAGTCTAGAAAGATTTTAAATGTTCTCAATATACTCTCCTGGCTAGGGTAGACATGAGAGGGCAGAAGGGTAAGTGAAGCAGTGAGGCACAGGTAGGTCAAGGTTTTTTAAGAACAGATAGTGTGTATCATCCCTCCATACAAACCTCCTTTTCTACAGATGACCTGAACATTGCTGGAATTATTGGGGGTGTTCTGGTTGTTCTTGCTGTCTTGGCCCTGATAACGTTGGGCATCTGTTGTGCATATAGACGCGGCTACTTCATCAACAATAAACAAGATGGAGAAAGGTGAGCCTGCCTTACATGAGAAAAGCAAAGTGCAGCCTGGCATTAATATGATAAACACACCACTGAACTGCCCTCTTCTGTTCACAGTTACAAGAGCCCAGGGAAGCCTGATGGAGTTAACTATATCAGGACAGATGAGGAGGTAAGGAAGAAAGAGATTAGGTAGCTTTTAGAAAAGCTGGGGGTGGGGAGATTTATACATGGTATCAGGGGTTGTGGTGTCCTGTGTGTTCTAGACTAGAAAGATTTTAAATGTTCTCAGTTTACCCAGTGGGAAAATGGCATTCTAGCTTGGAAATGGAGGGGCCCATGGGAATATTTCTGAGTTATATTGCAAACCCTAAGCTCCTCAACTCTGCACAGGTAACCTATGCACAGCAGTGGCACTAACACTTTGCAGGCTCTAGTGGATGTCACTGTTTAAACGTGATCATTTCTTTTATTTTGTTTTGCCCTTGGTTTCCTCTTTGGAGACTTGTTTAGCCCCTGTGTGATTTAACCAGTTCTCTTATTTACAACCTCATGACAACTCTGGATTGCTTCTAATTTTACACTGGTTTTGCAGGGTGACTTCAGACACAAGTCATCGTTTGTGATCTGAGACCTGGCGGTGTGGCTGAGAGCATATGCAGATACCTCTACTAGAAAGAAACTCCTGTCAAGGGCAGTCATGAGCCAAGTGCACTTGGACAGAGCTAGACACTCATGCACAAGCTTTTTGTTTTGGCCAAAGTTGACCACTACTCCTTTCTTACTCTTTTAACAAGCCACACAAATAAAGGAATCTTCCACAAGATGGGCACAGTAACCACAAGGAAAAGGAACTGTGAGTTCACGAGTTGGATCTCCAACCTATTGCTGACCCAATTTTCACATGGGTATTAGGGTGATCTGAAAGGTCTTGCCCATATCTGTTCTCCTGGGCTGGGCACCACAGATCTGATTTTGCCACTGCTTGTTCATTAGCCATAAGCACTGGCCACAAGAGGATGAGGTGACTGTGATAGCAACAATGTGAGCATGGCACAAGGTCTTCAGTTGCCATTTCCAGTAATAACTTCAGAAAAGGATTTGCATGCAGTGCCTCATTCCATGGGCCCACAGGTCTCTTCTTAAGGCTCTGGTGATCAGTGTTGTTGTGTCCATCTTGGAGAATCTTTTTGGATCAGCATTTTATAAAAACAACCAAAATCAGGAAGGTAAATGGCTTGCTGGAAGAGGGTTCTTCTTACCCAAAGAACCCTGCTAGTCCATGAAGGTATAAGGATTTAAGGAAAACTTCATCTTTGGCTAAAGTCTGAAATGGTACTGAAAGATTCTTTTCAGTGGGTCTTGCTTATTTTATAAAATTTTACATTCTAAATTTTTCTAAAGATGTATTTTGATTATTGAAAAGAAAATTTCTATTTAAACTGTAAATATATTGTCATACAGTGTTTTAAAAACTATTTTTTTTAAGAGTTTCACTTAAGATAGAAGTTCTAAGCTACTAGTATTAAATTGGAAAGTACCAATAGTTGAGAGTATTTTACCCAATGAATCCTCTCAAGGAGACTTACTAGAACATTCCTTTGTTCATGTGCTTTAGCATTTTTCATTAGAAAACTTATGCCATGTGTACATCAGACCATTGTTACTTAGGAAACTTTTAGAAAATTCCAGTCTAGCCCTGTTGACATCTGCTTGCATCTCTCCAAAAGAAACTTAGGGAGCTCTCAGGTTAGCTCTGAACTGCCTTTTCCTGAGATCACAACTGCCTGTGCCCGGAGACTGCCAAAGAAGCCCTTAGATATCTGTAGTGACCACAATGATATATTTTTGGAGTTAAGTCAGATAACACTGACTTGTAGGTGCTGGTGAGAAGGCCCACTGTGTCTTCACAGTCCTTACCACAGCTGTGTCCCTATTAGCTTCAGTAGTGTTGTGTATTTGCTGTATAGCTCTTAGAAGTTCTAATGTGGCCACTTAGGAAACTTGGTGTCTTCTGTGTGGCATCCCAGCCTTAAGGTTCCTGAGACAGACCTTCTTTTGGTTGTAGCTGGCTCACAAATCTGGGTCTTGCTATTTGGTTTTTAAGTTAATTTTAATTGTGTAGTTCATAAGACTGTCTAGGCCAAAGGCCATTTTGAAACCAGATCTGTCAACTTAAGTAATATTTTTAAAAGAAAATGAATCCAGCTGTTTCTCTTTGCTATGAAGAAAGCACCCTGACACCATAGGTTCTCTCTCTCCTTCATAATAAACCATTATGTGGTGGCAGCCAGTCCAGCCTTTTGAAGACTATAAGGAAGTGCAGCCAGGTCAAAACACGATGGTGAGGAAAGTAAAATGCCTGCCTGAATCAAAAGCAGTTTTCTAATTTTAATTTTAACTCTTCTATCTACCTGAGACACTGTTCACTTTGTGGGAGACATTAGAAACTTGGCCTAAAAGCCTTTGTTCTTCAAGAGTAGATTTTTCAGCTTCAAATACAGTGCTGTGTTGGACTCATGATGTGAAGTAGGTTGAATCAAGGAGCTTCTCAGAGGTGCGCCTAATTCCATGTGTGCCTGGAGGGTGGCTTTTTTGTAGAATGTAGTCACCTTGTAATTCAGATTTCAGTGTCTTAATTTTTTAATACTTTTGGTTTTTTTAATTGAATACTTGAGACATGTTGACTTTGATTTAAAGTTATATGAAATATTGTGCTGTGGGATATTTGGCAGGAACAGCAGGCAACTCTCCCACACTTTGTCAGTGGTACCAGTCTTGCATTTGCATCTTGAATGCTTAGAGTTGAGACTTGTTCTTTCATGTCTGCCACCTCCTGGAAGGAAGGGGGTCACTCCCCCAGTCTCTAACTGTTGAGGAATAACATGCTAGCCTTTTTGGCTGTAATAGTGATAGGGTGGCCTTATTACCTCCCTTCTTACACCCTAGAGCCTTCTGCCCTAGTGCCATGGAAGTGGTTCTGACGCGTGGAACTTGGGAAACTGTTAACTGTAACTGTAAAACTGCATACAGAGAACGAGCACCCATGTTTCTTTAAGATTTGAATGTGACTAAAGAAGCCTGAACAAGGATGTTCTCTGGCCTGACATGGATGTTGCTGTACATAGTTGTTACAGACTTGTACTAACACACCTATAATGTGGTATTTGTTTAAACCTCATTTATAAAAGCTTTAAAAAAAAAACTCTTCATTCTTTCTTGATTGTGATTATGTTAACGTTCATGTGTTCTCCTAGCATTTTATTAGGCAGGTACACTGAAAAGGTACACTGTCTGCGGGGAAGTCAGTACCTGAACTTGGAACCAAATGTGTGTTTACTCACAAGCAGCTTTTTGAGTCACTCAACCAGTGATGAAGCTATCTTTGTCACAGATCATTTATGGCAGAGCTGTGGATGGAGCACAGTAACTTTCCATCTTCCAAATCTAACTAATACACATGCTGAAAACACAAATACTGCTGGGCGTGGTAGCACACAACTGTAATCCCAGAGGCTTGGGAGGCCGAGGCAGGAGGATCTCAAATCAAGTTCAAGACCAGTCTCACCAACTTCAGTGAGACCATCTCAAAAAAAAAAAGGGCTGGGATGTAGCTTTATGGTTAAGTGCCCCTGGATCCAATCCCTGGTACCAAACAACAAGAACAAAACCTCTACAATAGTAACTTTGGGGGTGGGGATGTTGCATGGTGGTAGAGCACTTGCCTAGCATGTGTTAGGTCCTAGATTGATCCCTAGCACTTAGAAAAAAATACAGCATGAGTTATTAAAAAAAAACAAAACAAAATACCAATATGTTTACACTTTTGCCTTTATAATAATGGAATCAGAAAATGGAACCAGTCAGGCATGTTGACCAGCTGCTGAGGCAGGAGGATGGCTTGAGGATGGCTCAGGAGTTAGGTGGGGGTTGGGGGTAGAGGTGGAGCCTGGGCAACAAAATGAGACCTTGTCTCTCTCACCCACACACCAAAAAAAAAAAAAGAAAAAAAGCCAACTGAATTTCATCCTAGGCATTCTTGAACAAACATTATTTTAAGTTCGCCTGCTAGTGCCAATAAAAAGAGACTCAAGTTACACCCCCATTGTAAAGCAATCCTTAACAGAATTTCATACAAATCGGCCTCAGTGCTATTTCACGTAAGGAACATCAAGCTGTGTTTTAAAAAGTAAGACTCGTGCTAATAAGGCTGTTATTAGAAGGCAGACAGCTTCCATATGGGAACAAAGGCAGGTGGCAGATGAACCAAACCTTAAGGAAAAACATAATCATCTTTTTCTTAACAGGAAAGACTTCGTTTCATTCTTAAATACTTTATGTAAACTTAATACAACTACCTATGAAAGCCCTGTTTCTAAAAAATCAAAAAATTCTACTGAATACTAGAAGACTGTATTTTTTATGCTTGACCTTTATTATACTTCATTTTAGAAAGCTGTACATTTTTTAAAATCTGCAATTATAAATAATAGAAAAAATATAACAATTGAAATTTTGACATTAGACATGGGAAAATATTTACTATAAGGAATTTAAACAAGCTAACAGCAGCTTGATTCATATAAAAAACTGAAATTTTCCAAGTTGTGTTCATTAAAGACCAGATTATAGCTTATCAGAATGGACTTAAATTCAGATGGATAAAATTATGATATTAAATAGCTTAACTTTAGGATAAGAAAATCTAAACCTGGCATTTCTCTTATTTCACAATTTTTTTAAAAAATATTTTTTTAATTGTAGATGGACACAATACCTTTATTTTATTTTTATGTGGTGCCAGGGATCGAACCCAGTGCCTCACGCATGCTACGCAAGCGTTCTACCACTGAGCCAGAACCCCAGCCCTATTTCACAATTTTTTAACCACATATATCATGAAGAAAAATAACACAAGGTTGGTCAGCCAAACACAGGTGAACAAATACAGCACTGGGACAGATCCTAAGGAAAAGCTTTGGTATTACACAATGAAACATTGCCTGAGGCATACAGCAAATGATTCCTCTGCCTTTCCATGCTCAGGATTCAAGAATGTTCCCTTGGGCTCTTGTCTTCCTGGACAGGCACTGGAACACACTATTTCAGTTGGCTGTTTTCAGGGGGCTCTTTCGGAGGGATCTTCGACTGGGGTTTGGGTTGTCTTTATTCCTGGCTGGAGACTTCACATTCCACTGCTGAGGCTGGGGAGGTCTAGGAGAAGAAATGAGACAGTGATTCTGAAACTAAAAGAAAAACCCTGATCAAAACAGAACTCTTTGGTAAACTTACGGTTTATCAGGCAATGATAAACATAAAATGTCATTTCCTTGACTCTGGGCTTCAGTTTTCTCTGAAAGGGAGTCAAAACAGAAATTCAGTTTTCCCAGATCTTCAAAGCCAGCTAATGTATCAGATAAGAAGGAAACTGAGAACTTGCCTTTGGCTGAAAAAGAAGTCCATGGTGTCCCTATGTAACTGACCCCTGCTCCAAATGTGACATCACTGATGGATTCTGGGGAAAAGAGAAACAGCACTGTCAAACATGGGTATGAGACACAGTCACCTGAACAAGTCAATTAACAAGCTCTGCTCTGGTTTCTTTTACCCCAGCTAGCAGGCCTCAATCTGACCTTTCCCCAGGACTTGGCAGTGTAGAGAAACTCTTTTCTCCTGGAAGCTCTTCCTTCCTCTGACCACAGCCCTCCTCGGCTGCTCTGCAGCCTCTGTATCATCCTTGCTCCTGTCTCTTGCTTCTCACTCAACCTTCATCTTTAAGGACTCCTAAGTGCTAAGGACCAACAATTCCACTCAGAGCCCTTCAGGTCTGGGTTCTAT